CCATCATCTCATTGCGAAAGTAAGCAGGATCATTATTGATTCGTGTGATTAAAAAAAAATCGCAACCATTGCTACCATTATCAAAAATAATTCAGCGTTGTGAACAGATCGCTGAACCACATTTTTTTATCACAGCGTTACATATTGTGGAGAGGATTTGAGACAAAACGGTGCTTTTGCGTTTACTGTATTCCAGTGAAATCACATATCTCATACATTTCGAAGAATTGCGACAAAAATGTTGCACACGTGCCGATTTTCTCCAATACAACTGGCTCTCTCCTGCTCGCGTGAAAATAAACAAAAATTACTTGGTCGGTATAAAGATGTTGGAAGAGTCAAGTTAGCGTTTGTGTAGAAGGCCTAAATGTAGTAAACGACCCTAAATTTAATAAAGTCCTAAATGTAATAAAGTCCTAAATGTAATAACAATTTGCCCTAAATGTAATAAGCTCTTAAGTTGCTAATTACAGTAATTACTCGAATGAGTGCCGCCCTCAAAAAAGCGCCGCATCTGTGGGGGGTTAATTAACGCCGCGGCGCTTATTCGTGTAAATACGGTAGTAAGCGGTATTACTATTGTATCAAGCACCGCTCTCAAATAAGCGCCGCATGTTTAGAGAAAAAGTTAATCAGCGCCGCGGCGCTAATTTGCGTAAATTCGGTTCATTTCCTTATGCACTGTCAAACGTAAAGACAAATAAATTGCTTGTAAACGACAAAGTAACACCATTTTTCTAAAAAAGCAATATTTAAGCAACTGGAAAACTTTTTTCCTGTGTTTCCATAGCCTGATATAGACACTCGAGGGGTTAGGAGAATTCGGAACAGTTATGCAAACCCTCGACTTCGTCTCGTGTTTGCATAACTGTCAAGAAATCTCTCAAACCCTCGAGTGTTTATGAGGCTATGCAAACACAGAAAAAAAGTTTTCTATCGCTTTTATAAAACAGCTTTTCCGAGAAAAAGGAAAACTCTTTGTTTAGGTTACTGATTAAAAGAGAAGTTTTAACCAGTCGAGAAGTCTTGTACTTGAGGCTTAATGTACGTGTAATCAGTTCTTGTTTTGCAATAAAGATGCTTTCCAAAAAAGGGGTTTTCTCGCTTAAAATGTCAGCTTAAGCGAAAAAAAATTGGCCCAGCATGTTTGTAAAGATTTTGGGTAAATAAAGTAAATTTGTCGAGTTTTCAACTCAAAAACATTTTAAAATTCGTGCTTGTGTGATTAGCGCGCGAAGAGCAAAACAACTTGACTCCATAAATTTTTACATACTCTCATGCAAACACATCTCTCAGCCAATCAGAGCGCGCGCGCCCTATCTTAGTTATTTATAAACGTTGTTATCAGCTGTGAAGTAGTCTTTAGGACCTATCATGTAAAGGTGATCAAATCAAAATGAGACATTATGTTGACAGGCGGGTTACCCCACCAAAGCGGGTTAGCTCACCTACCTTGGGCCCCCACCTCCGTGTAAAGAGGCCCTTAGACTTCTCGTTTTTTGTTCTTAACATTTTAGCTGATTAGATCTCTGTTCTAAAGATCCAAGGATGACAAACAACAGGATCTTCGTCCGCGGTTTTTGCAGTAAATATCTTTAACAAAAATGAAGTATGAAAAACTTTTGAAGGCTTAATTTTTTTTTTATTTTGTCCCTTTACAAGCAATTTATTTGTAAACGTCAAGTTACACAGCGGGCCTAAGGAAATATACCGAATCTTATTAAATTAAAATCCGGCGCTTAAAACCATAGTAATACCTCTACCGTATTTACGCGAATAAGCGACGCGGCGCTTATCAAATCCCTCCAAATTTGGCGCTTATTTGAGGGTGGCGATTATTTGAGCAATTAACGTAATTTGGAAGTTTATTACATTTAGGAGAAAATGTTATTACATTTAGGACAAAATCTTATTACACTTAGGACTTTATTACATTTAGGGTCGTTTATTACATTTAGGCCTTCTACCGCGTTATTCTGCGGTGGGCTCTTCAAAATAAAACTGGCTCACTAGTGCTCACGTGAATATGGACAAAGATTACTTTAAAAAGCGTCGTTTCCAAAATGATAAATCTTATTGGCCATCGACTTTTACTAAATGTGGTGGCTCCTAAAGGAGCCGTTTTTGCTTTATTAGTCAGCGGTTACCTTCCAGACTAGTGTTTTGTCGCCCCTCCGCGTGTGGCAATAACGTCTGGGGTGAATTCACTCAGTTAATTAAACTGGAATTGGAGTGAGAACAAATTGAAATCGTTATTCGGGTTATTCGTTTGCGCTTTGGAGACGCGAATACTTTGAGAATAACAAGCCGTTTATGCTCGAAGACAAGATATACATTTTTAGTTATAACGTTATGCTATTGATAATAGAGTCTTCAAGATAAAGAAATGCTGACGACTTGAAGAACGCCATGGTCGAAGAGGGCTTGGGTCGAACATACGGTGTTCACGGTCGTTCGCGGCGGGAAAATTAAGTTAAGAATTTGCTTTTACGACGAGAGCTGTTTTCGATCAGTTTTCTCGATGCCGAAATGGCTTCTTTAAAAAACAGTCGCGAAGCTTTGTTTATAAGTCATGCAAGCGGCTTTATCACCGACGCAGAATTCTTACTTCTTCATCAAGAAAATTCTTTGATAATTTAGATATTCCTTACGACAACTGTCCGAGGTTCAGTTTGCAAGACCAAAGTGAAGCTGATTGCAAAGCTAAATTGCGGCTGGAAAAACACCATGTTGGTCGATTAGTTGATGCGCTCCAAATTACAGCTCTCTTCAAATGTGATCAAGGTACAATTTACGAAGGATTGGAAGGCCTTTCTATCCTTCTAAAGCGCTTTGCATTCACAGGTCGGTTCTCTTACGTGATTCCAGTTTTTGGAAGACCAGTACCTGAACTTTCCACGATAAATAATACTGTAATTGACTGGGTTTATAGCCATCACAGACACCGCATCATGGACTGGAATCCAAATGTCTTAAGTCCCATCCAGCTAGAGAATTACGCGAAAGCAGTAAGGAATTGCTTTGTAGACGGAACTGTTAGGCCTATATCTAGACCAGACGAAAACCAGAGAGTAGTTTACAATGCGCACAAGAGAGTTCATGGCTTAAAATTTAAATCTGTTGTGATTCCAAATGGCTTAATTGCACACCTTTATCGGCCAGTAGGTGAGCTATTGCTTTGTCTTCCAGATTGATCATCACTATAGTTCTTTTACTTGCCAAAAAGTGCCCACGCTTTAAAAAAAAGGTTTCTCTTTATCTTACGAAATGTTGTTTGTCAGCGATGCTTCTGGACCATACTACACACTTTTTACGCTACACTATTCGTCGAATTACGGAAAGGAAGAAAATAAAGAATTAATTGCCATGATAAGAAAAGTTTCATTCAGGGGAATCCGCTTACTGATACATAATTTGTGCTCTTTAATGTAGCTTAAGTGATAAAAATTGACTTTGCCCTCAACAGAAGGAAAAAACACGATGCTGCAATGCTAGCAGAATCACATCTGCATGACAGTCTGGAGAGGAATGCTCAGGAGAGGCAATGTGCATTTACAGGGATCCAGCTTATCCTCTTAGGATCCATCTACAGGCACGTTTTCGAAATCGTGCATTAACCCCTCAGACGCTGGTTTACAGTAGTTCAATGAGTGCTGTTCGTACTGCCGTTGAGTGGCCATTTGGAGACTTTATCACTTATTTCAAATTTTTAGACTTTAAAAAGAACTTAAAATTGGTCTTAGCCAGGTGGGCAAAATGTACATTGTGTGCTCAATTATGCAAAATGCTTTGACTTGTCTTTATGGAAATGGTACATCTCAGTTCTTTGACTTAGATCCTCCTTCACTAGAGGATTACTTTGCATAATGATTCTCCATTGATAAACTTCACAAAAAGGTTTGTTAATCCTCACAACGTCTAGCAAGGAAAAAGCATGGCCACTATATACATTTTTTTGGATATTTTTTTCCAATTTTCCCCTTCGTTTGTTTGACCAATGTATATGACTTTTTAGTGCAAGGAAAAATAAAACTGAAGTACAACATACCCTGTTTAATGATTTAGACAGGCTTTGACCGAACATGCATTTAAAATAGGCTTGCTTTGTAGATGTATTTACAACCTTACTCAGTATCGGAACAATTAAAAAGCAGCCCAGTCTTCTGAACTTTTGTTTCTACCTTCCATGATACAAAACCGGTTATGTAAATCATTTTACAGCTCCTGGGAAAAGATGTCTACAGTATCAAGCAAAGTAAATAATTGACTAAACAATTAATGGGCAATAACCTCAATGAAATAGTCCTTTAGGAACAAGTTTGTCTAATAATGCCATCATAGCCTGAGACTGAGTTTGCTGTTGCATCAACAACAAATTGTACATATCCCGAACTTGCTTCTGTTGGTGCTGTTGCTGGTCCAGTAAGGTTTTGAAAATTTTTGACATTCTTTTCTTGATTTTGCACTTGCTGTTGCTCTTTCATCATACCTTAAACATCTGAATCTGCTGTGTCTGGATGTTTTGCAACCGCTCATTTTCTTGTTTTTTCAATTCCAACTCCTCCTGTTTAAGTGCCCGATCTTGCTGTAGTCTCTTTCAGGTATTCCAATGCTCCAGTACCATTTTTTCGGCTCTTCTTTGCTCTGGTACAAGTACTTCCGTCTTCAAAATTCCTCTTATGGGTCTTACCCATCGTTTCAAGAGCAATTTGACGCATATCCTCCGTTTTTTTCTATCAGCCTCCACCTTTCCACTGTTCTCGTCATTCATTTCTTGCTGATCAGTGTCAGAAGATTCCTCCATAGCTATGATTTGATCAATAGCAGCATCCAACTCGATTTGCTGAGGTGTCGTTCCACTCTCCCTCAACTCCTGTGCCTGTTGTCTCCTAAATCGCTGAAGGAGGATAGCAATGTGATCCCGGACTGATCTCTTTTCCACAATAAAGCAAGGATCTTTAACAGTATTGAGATTTTCTGCGATCTTCTGCCACAGCGCTCTACGTTGAATGGACTTTTTTTTTGGCACTGTAAGGGTTGACAAAAATGATCTCCTTACACAACACAAGGTCGTGCAGAGGTGTCCAGTTCATAATTCTGAAATAGAAATAAAGTGGGTTAGGGATTCCTGGGGAAGTGCTCCTATCCCAAAATCACTTAAAATCTCAGGAAGATAAGCTAATTATCCAGTTGTGTTCCAGGCCAAAGTATTGCTGGTTTTCAGTGTCAGGTCATTCAAAATAGATCAAAATAAAAATCAAAACCGTTCGACAGATAAAGTCCAGAATCTGGGAAATGAAAGGAGGTAAATATACAAAGACCCTCGCCAAGATTTGGGTCGAACTTATAATTCGAATACGAGATGTTCGAAATAAATATAACAAAATCATTTCAACTTGTTTACCCCCGAAAGCAGTCTTCAATGTATGGGGACTTTCTAAAAGTACACGACATGATGACTAGTTGCAAAATGTTTTACAGTACAAATTCAGTTATTCTGTGTTGCTTATTTCTGCAGGAAATGCAAACGAATTGAAAAGAAACATTTTTCTCAACAACTTTTTCAGGTAATGGGTTCACGAATTGGAAAACAAACCAAAACACTCACTTGTTTCGCGCTGGACGCCATTCCTCAAGCTAGATCCTCTGTCAGTTTGCTTGTTTTTTAAATAATCTAAAGTACAAGCACAAAAATTGACTTTTAGAAGAGTTCTTTAACAAAAAAACCCTTACACTTTCGAGAAACACCCAAACAGTGCTAACAGAAATATACAAAACGCAATAAAGGTGATTAAAATACTCACGTTTTACCAGCAACACGGAACACCTATGTATCACGTCTGTGAAAAACAACAACGCGCCAACTCGGGCCAAGGTTGACATTTTGTCATGTGCAGTGAACTGGAAATGGTTATTCTTACGTCTCCGTTCCTCTATCTTAAACTCCCTAATATACAGGAAAACACGATTGGCTGAAAAAGGAGTACAGTTATCTCGTAACAAAAGAGCAAATTTGTAACACGAGAGCAAATTAAAAATGTTTCTGATTGGTTGAAAAAACAAAAGAAACCAACGAGAGCCAGTCAGATTGGGAATGTTTCTATAGCATTATATTGGCGGAAAATTTGAGGTAAGACGCGCAGGAAAATGGCTGGGGTTTTCAGCAAACAACGATTTGGTTTTGCAAGTGAAACAACGATAAAAGAGGTAATGATTTCCAAAACCCGAACACAGTAAAGGATACGTCTTTCTGGCCGTATGTATGTAATACGCGGTGCAAACAGAAAACTATTGAATGACAACATCTGCTTCAAAACTCATCCAATGGGCGAAGACACCATTAGCAATATGATGAAAACAATTGTGGCGGGTACTAGCCTAAAAGAAAGTGAAAAAAGTTCGCGAATCGTTGGCATCAAATGATTTTTCTGATGCAATTTGGAATAAATAAGCACTTGAAAATGCGGAAAATGCACTCTCGCGCCTTTTGTTAGTCCAAATTACTCTAGAAATCACTGATGTATATACAACTCTATTTAAGTTATATCACAGAGGACTAAGTAATAGTTTTTACACCGTAGGACTTTCAAAAAAAATCGTAAGCTTTTGTACTGCTCGGCTTAAAACCAGCGTAACTCTCGAAATAAGTTGTTTGCTTTCTGAAAATTAAAACCATTGTAATGCCACAATCCTCAGTTAAAACACAGTGTTAAATCAACAACACATCTTTTAATCTGCTACCACGTACAGTCTCCTTTTAGTTACTTCGCAACATCACTTAAACACAACAGACTAAGAGTCCCTAACGACTGTTCATCAACATGCCAAACGTCTACAATTCTTAGGAAATGAATGGTATTAATTTGTACTTGTCTAGTTACCCAGATTGTCCTACAATGCTTATCAGTCCCTGAACACTTCGGGTTAATCAGTCACCCAAGTTCCGTATCAACTTAGTGGCTTTTGCTGCCTTGAAGGTCTCCTACAAACACTGGAATCACTCCCAGTCGACTCGGCTGTTTGACAGCCGACACCCTCCTAGCTAGTTATGGTCATCTGCAACAGAAGTTGTCAATTCTGCACGAGGTTCAGGTTCCCTCACATCATCGACAGGCTAGTCACCGTTATCATCCCCAATGCAATCAGCATCTTGAGGTCTCGGGGAAACATCATCCTTGTCTCCTGCTCTAGATTCTGTTTCGTCAAGTTCAAGTCCCTGTCTCTCCTTAACTGCAGTTGACTGTCCGTCGTCGACAAAAACTGAAGAATCCACACCTGATGTCTCTCTCCCCTCTTCTCTTAGGCTCGATAACTGTGTCTGCCTTTTTGGAATACATATCTCTAGTGGGGTTCCCACGTAAGGCTTTAACCGGTCTAAACTGAGCGACCTTGGGTTGGCCTTTCCGCGCTTCCGGATACGGTACACCACATCCGGCAGCACTGACAATACAAGATAGGGTCCTTCAAGAGGACAATCAAATTTGGCATTTCTTCCCTTCTTCCTTCGAACGTTATGGAGCCAAACACCAATAACGAATGGTCTATCAGCTAGCCGTTTATCGCAGTTCCTCTTCTGTCGTACAGCTGTCAATTTCCAATGATGCCTGGCCAAATCATGCGCACTAATCAATCTCTTTTGAACAGCTTGAGCATAGTCCGTCGGGAGTTGTAATGCATCAGGAGGTCTCTCAGATATAGCATCCAGCGGAACCTCCAGTTCCCTACCCAACATCAAGAGGTTATATGAAACCCCTGTTGAGTCATGAACAGCACCTCAATAGGCCAAATGCATAAGCTGGAAGTTGTACATTTCGGTCTGTTGGGTCTTGCTGGATCTTCCCACGTAACATTTCAATGTGGGTCTTCTTGAAGCGCTCCACCTGTCCGTCAGAGTGGGGATGTAGAGGGGTGGTGCGAGTCTTCTAAATGTCTATCAGCGTGCAGACTTCAGCAAACACCTTTGACTCAAAGTTACTTTCTTGGTCGCTATGAAGTTGACGAGGTACACCGAAACGACAAATGAACTCGCTCATTAGCTTCTCAGCAACTTGGCTTGGTATTGGGTAACTCTCAGTCCATTTGGTGAAATAGTCACTAACCACCAGTATAAACTTGTGCTTTCGCGGGGTTTCTGGCAGTGGGCCAAGAATGTCAATGGCGATTCATTCAACCACGTACTGCTTTAAAGGAGCACAATGCTTTTTCTCCACAGATATGGCACCTGGCGACCAACCTGTGAACTGCTGAAGTAAGTTCTGGCTAGTAATTATGATATCAAAGAGCACATAGGGTCTTCGGTACATAACGATGACTTCCAGTAAAATGACTATGATGAGCTTCAAAAGCAGCCTGTCGAAGACTTCGAGAAAAATAACCTGGTCAGTCGTCTGTTCTCCTCCATCACTTTCCCATTTTCGACAAAGCACACTATTCCTGAAAAACAGCTGGTCCCACTGCGACCACAAAGTCTTCACAGCACAACTCTGAGGCGAGACATCTTCCCACAATGGTTTTTCTTTGTCGGCTCCCTTCCAACGAAAAATAATTTTGAGATCAGAATCTACTTCCTGCTGTTCGCTCAAGAAGGTGGAGGTCCAGGTTGGTTCCAACCTAGCCGTGGTACAAGGATCACCAACAGGTGCTTCACAATTAATTGTCCTGAATAGGGCCATGCATCACAGTTTGAACACACACATTAGGAAGAGACATTGGTTCTTGTGAATTCCAAGCCCTACACCACTTGCAACGGACATCACGGAGTCTACGGGAAAGTGCATCAGATCTCGAAACCAACATGGTTTATTTTCGTTGTTTCGCCAACTCTTTAAGGGGGGCAGGTTCTGAACGATCACCAACATACTTGACCACTATATTTGAACACCTCGTTTTAAGCAATCGCAGCAAACGTATTAAGGATCTCATTACAATCCGTCAGTCTTCGCCTCGTTTTTCGTTCTAGCGCAATTTCGCCGATGCAAATTTTCGCCCTGGTGAAATTTCGCAGATGCGAATTTTTGCTCAGGCGAAATTTCATGGTGAACTTTCGTCCAATTTTCGCGAGATCAAAGGACGAAATTCGGCGAATTTCGCTTTCATTTACTTTGCACAAAAAAAACTAAACCCTGTTCGCTTAATTAATTTTCAAAGAATGGGCGCGAAATGGGAGAAAGGCTCATGGACTAATGGAGCATCAAAGTATAGTTGATACACAAATTTACGAGTTACAAATTTACACTAACCTGAAATCACTAGACTTCAGTAATTACCTAAATGCCTTCACCGACCAACTTATCAAAATGGGCCGGTTTGGTGGAAGCGGTGTTTATAAGAAGTGGACGCTTATTTCATATTCAATAGATTTAGGAAGAACTAATGCAAGGAGGCCACTTTTTCGAGCTTAACGGTACGTTCGAATTGTGCAAGCATCGACACATCCTTCAATGGGCCAGTTGACTATAGTAAATTGCCTACTTTTTTGATTTGTCAGGTGCTAACTGCCCTCAGCTATCCGCCCCAGTACATGGTAATATAGAAGGATACCGCCGAGAGACCGGCAGTACGGTCCGTGTATCATGTGACCGTGGGTATAAAGTGGAACCAGACAGCTCTTCCTTTAGGACTTGTCAGGCAGATAATCTGTGGTCTGGGGTTGACCCAGTTTGCAAACGTAAGAAGAAAAGCTTGCAATTTGGTCTTCAAGTTAATTAGTACCCTTGTTTCTTGTGATTATAATTTTTGTTATGATAAAACAAACATACCCACAACAGATAATGTTATTTTATACCGAGTGCTTTCTTGGTATATGCATTTCATTTCTCAGTTGTTTGGGTGGAGCTGGAAATGACATATCTCCAAGGAGTCTCCAGATTATAGGGGGCCTGAGAGCTGTCCCTATTTAGTCTGAATGTACTATGATCTCGGCCTCCTTACCATTCACGGGGACGCCATCTCCTAAACTAACTCTAAAGTTTTTCCCTCAGCCTCACCAGCTCCAGCCCGCCAACAGGCTAGTCTTTTTATATGTTTTTTTTCCAAGGGGCGGTTTTTTCTTGTGCCCCACCTTTGCTGAAGGTACCATCTAAGACTTGTAGTTTTTGCTAAGGTAATCAAGTAATATTTGAGACAAATAAATGTCAAGCTGGAGATGGGGGTATCATTTGGGGTGATAGGGGAAATGTCTCCTTGAAGTTTGATCGACAAGTGTAGCAAAATTAGGCAGCCCCCCTCGTTTTGGATCTTCCTGTGCATTCTTCTGCATCCGAGAGAATTGGCTGGAAGTCAATTGAATTGATGTACAACGGTGATTCAACGGTGATTTTCATAATTATTATACACGGTCAAGAAATGACATTCACAAATCCAGTGCAACGAGACGCTGGGGTCACTGGTCGTCAGTTAATTTTAGTTCTAATATTTGGAACCGTTTAGACACTTCCTCGAAGGAAGCAGACACCGTCTCCATCTATTGTGACCTGTCTAAAGCAATTTTGTGATATATGCACATGTACTCAATCAAATATATCTATACGTATATATGTTTAAGTTTTTAAATTTTTTCATGTTCTTGCATTCTTTAACTAGCTTTTAGTCTTTACCGAGTTTTCTTTCGAGGAACTAACTGTAAACCACTTCTTGTGACGTTGGCATTCCTCATTAAAGATTACTTTATTATTATTATTATTATTACAAGCCAATGACCGTATTTACGCCAGATTGCCTGTACATGTTCTTAATCTTGCTTCAGCAAACACACGCGATGAGAACGATTGCCAGCCCATCCTAAAAGCGAAAACGGGACGAGATAAGAAAAACTGGTATATAATACTAGCAGTTATCGACTTCCTCACAAGTCAGTTTTTTGTTGATTTTACACCTTTCTCACTAATTTAGTCATCGACTGCGGTGACCCAGGAACGCCATGGCATGGTTACCTACATGGCTCCAATTTCAAATATAACAGTCAAGTGACGTTTTCATGCTACCCTCAGCATCACTTGGAGGGAGACAATCAGCGAACATGCCAGGCGGATGGACAGTGGAGCGGTCAACAGCCCAAGTGTCTGGGTAAGCTGTATCTCATTCTTATTGTTCTTATACTTATTTTTGGATACCTTTTTTAAAGAAAGTTATCAAGCGTTATCTGTGGTTAGTTGAACAGTTTCAGTAGTTGCAGAAGGCGAGACTAAAACACCCCTATAGCTTTAATGTTTTTCGGTAGAGATTGCAGTATGTGCATGCGATTGAGCTTCTTAGAAGGCACAAATCCATTGCCAGTATGCGTCTTATTGGGGTATAACAATGTTTTCTCTGTTAGAAAGGTCCTGTGGAAATCCAGGAACACCGACTAATGGCATTAAGATGGGAACTAACCATTCTTACGGTGCGTCTATTACATTCTCATGCAACTCGGGATATACACTGCATGGCTGGCAGCAGCGAACATGTCAAAATACTGGCCAGTGGTCAGGCGTACAACCAACCTGTCAAAGTGAGTATTTCATCTATTATCTAGAAAAAAAGCTATACGCAAGTTATTTCAGTGTCAAAATGTAATATGTGTTACCAGAAAATCTCCCTTTCACCAAACATACAACTGTCGATAACAAGGAGGGAACAGTTTCTAGCCAACACTAGATATACAGTCGGCTAACTTTTTACCATTGCAAGAACTAAATTCATTCAGTTTAACTTGTCCGAATAAATCGACGCAATGCATGTACATTCCCCCTTTAAACTGAAGGGTTCTCTCCGTGTCCAGCTAGGATACGAAATCTCAGGCAATCCCTCCCTTTATAACATGGACACCTGGTCTGTCTCCCTAGTGTCCGCACAAGGATAGTTTGACCAAGAAAAGCATTTCAGTTAATGGGACTTTGACCATTCGGACAATAATGCCTTTGACCTCTTTTTCAGTCGTCAGTTGTGGTGATCCTGGATCTTTGGCAAACGGCTTCAGGATAGGCGACAAGTTTACGTATGGAGAAAGCGTTGTGTTTGATTGTAACGCTGGATACAAACTCCAAGGATCTATTGTTAGGAAGTGTGAAGCTAATGGCCAGTGGTCAGGCACAGTGACAAGCTGTGTTGGTGAGTGCGAACGCATTTCATACTCATTGCATGTGCAGTCATAAGATTCTCCCCACATTTTTCTCGCAGAGTTATCTACAGCTTTCAGAATGTTGGTGTTGAGCGATTTACCAAATCACTTGCAGCACGTGAGCCAACAGAAACCACAAATTGTTTTCGTAATCAACTTTAATTTTGCTCCATTAAAAATGTCCTTTCATAATCACCCACACCACTAGATGTTCAATTGTCCAAATCAGTCTAATCCTCCAGTGCTACCAGACACGACTCTTTTTCAAACTTTTTTATCACTTTCGATAACACAAGTAAACGCATCAGTACAAAATGAAACGACCTTTCTTTATTTTTCCTTCTCAGCTTCAAACTGCGGTAGTATTCTTTACGGCCCTTCCGGATCATTCCAGTCCACCAACTTCCCAAACAACTATCCCAATAATGAGTACTGTACATGGGAAATTCAGGTACCTCAAGGAAAAAAAGTGCGCCTTGATTTTGAGGAACTTCGCACTGAAGAGAACAAGGACTTTGTGTTTATTTATGACACAGGCAAGACAGATCCGGTCATAGCTTTCAGCGGCATAAAGGATAAGCCACGCGCAATAACTTCCTCTGGGAAGAGCATAAGGGTCAGGTTCGTTTCCAACG